AGGTGAGCAAAGAGTGAAGAATTAATTAACCCCATATCTCGAGTCTCAACAAAAATTACGTTTCCAACGTTCTGTCCCTCGCATTAAAAAGAGAAATATTCGACTAGACAAAAGAGTAGTTCTTTTTCAAAGTTTTTCCTTGAGAAAGAAAAATTAGCTAGATATTTATAAATTAATTATAATGAGAACTGTTAAAGTCTAACAAAAAGTCCAATTTAATTTGAACCAAGAGTGACGATAATATGTATTGTTGGATTCAGAGGCGGAGTAGCCTTATGAGTTCGAAATTGTTATTATTTTAAATTATTGGGTTCTAAATTAATAATTTGTACAAATTCAATAAATTTCTTAAGGCAATTACAGGGTTTGAACAAAACGGGTTCGGCGAACCCTCATGCCGCACTCTGGCTCCGCCCCTGTTTGGATCGATCTTTTCTGATTTATACACAGTACAGTACTGGAGAGGAGAAGAAGAAATTAATGCTCAGTAATTAGCAAGTAGAGAATTAAGAAAGAAAGAAAGAAGAAACAAGAGCAGTACAGACTAAGGCATGAAGAGTTTGTTGCGACACTTGCACCTCCAAGCTTCAGGGTAGTACTCTAAAGTAGAGGTAAAGCCAGGTCGAACGGAGACTCGAACCGGTTTACATGGTGAACACCGTCCGCACTTGGATCTACACGTGGGTGGCGACGAACCCGGTCCTCTTTGCTCAATAAGGAGTACTCGTTCAGTCAACTCTGCTTCACAAAACATATATAGTAGCTCCATTAGTAAATTAATTAATAAGTCATTAGAACGTGACTCAATTCGAATTTAGAAAAGTAAGCTAGATAATGGTTAGGAACACACTGAGATTGCGAGTAGGGTGTAAGCCGAGAGCTAAAGAAAGGTTAAATTGATCAGTACTATGGTCGCCGCAAGAGAGAGTGAAGACGATATGTGGTGGCGGTGGCGTAAAACGCCCATAGCCGAGTTGGAGCGTAGCAACTGCTAAATTAACTAGTGGTATGAGGGACAGTTAGAGTAGATGAAGAATGCAGGTGGAGGTCTCCAGCTCAGGTTGTTGCGACTCTGATCTCTATTATTGGAAGTTTTAATTTGCGTGTAAGGCCGTCAGTCCAAGTCAAAACCCCACACTCACCCCTCTTATTTTCAGCGAAATATACTGACAGACAAGTTTCAAAGATTACATTTTGAACAGAGTTTAAATTATATACTCAGTATATATTATAAATAACTTTTTTTATATTATCAGGTAACATTATCGATACCATCATAAGATATTTACGGATAACCTTCATAAAAACTAAAATTCATATATTAAAAATAAAATATATTATTTTCTACAACAGATTACGATAATTTGAAATATAATTTTTTTCTTGCTCTATCAATGTGTATATAAGTTAAATAAACGAACTCTTTAGAAAATTGGATTCGTTAATGAAGGTAAACATTCACGAGGCCTTGTTTCGAGCAGTAATTTTCTTTCGTAATATTAGTGGAAGTAAATGATCTCCTATAATCATATATACTTTGATAATAAATACTACTAATATGCAAAAAATAATTTGGCTATCAGTAAAGTAAAAATAGATTGGTTTTCCTAGCCTAGTCCAACACACGTGAGCTATATATTTTAACACTCCAGCCTATGATTTGAAGGTCCTCAAAATGTTTGCCCAATCTAACTTTTTAAGTTATCTCTTCATTTTTTTCTTGGTTTATACTACAATCTGTAACGTATTAAACTAGTCATTATTTCGTATGTGTAATTTGCACATGATAGTTCCCAGAAGTATTATAAATGAGCATTGTGTCTCCATCACATTGACTTTCATGTATATTTACTGTCAAGCATGTCAGCTTCTTATTAATACAAATTTTCTTTATTTGACATTCAAGTAATTAAAACAAAAAGCAATTCCTCTATAATTCAACTAACACGCCTTTATCTGTTTTGTATAAGAGATAGAAGAAGAACAAAGGAAAAATATAAATCATAGCTTAGGATTCTTTTATTTGTTGTCTTTATTTAATTAAGGTATAATACATAATCATCTCCTGAGGTTGTTTGACTCCTTATACTTTGCGAGAGTCCTGTGACCCCCTTGTCTTTATATTGTTGTTTGACTCCTTATACTTTACGAGAGTCCTGTGACCCCCTTGTCTTTATATTTAAACTATAATAAGTACCACCTTTCGAACTGATGTGGTTTAAAATTTTGCATGCAATTATAGCGCGTGAGAACAAAAAAACTGCCCCATATCTGATTTTTTTTATTTTTACATTTTTATTTTGCTTTGGCTTTTCCTAGTTATTTTTCTTTCTTCTTTCTCTTCTTCAATTAAACCTCCACTACGCAATAATTTATCAAAGAGGCCAGACCTCCATTCTCCAAATTCCTGACATAGTCAAGCTGGAGCATCGACTATTTTGTTTGCTTTATCTCCTTTTTTTAATAAAAGCTAAAATAAACCTTTCAGGCAGAAGAATTTAAAGGAGAAAATCTAGTTGTTCTAATCTAAAGGTTGCATTCAATTTGTGCAGCTTCAGATTTGGTGTTGAATGGGTGCTTTACTGTGAGTCCAAGGTTGTTTTTAACTGGGGATGTCTAAATTGATGAGGGTTTCAAGAGACAAGGCCGGCTATACCCTTTAGGCCTCAAGAATTTAAGGGCCCCAAAATTACTATTTCTCTATATATAGTATATAATTTATATAATTATTGCTTATTATTGATAAATTTATTTCTTTGTTTTCATATTAATGTTGATTTCTTCCTCTGATTAGTAAAACCAAATTAGTTTTCTGCCAATCTTATTTTACGTTTTTACTGAATTATTTTACTCTATTGTCATGTAACTATATATAATAATCTAACTTATATTTTATTTTCCTCATATAAATTATACTCCCGCCGTCCCAATTTATATGAAGGTGTTTGACTGGGCATGAAGTTTTTTTTTAAAAAAAAAAAAAACTTTTGAAACTTGTGATCTAAAACAAATCATAGAAATTTGTGTAACTAGAAATCATCTCATTAATGGTAAAGGAAAAAATTTACAGTTGAATTATTACCAAATATAGAAAGGTATTCTTTTTAGGACAGACTAAAAAAGAGAGTGTCACACAATTTAGGACAGAAGAGTATGTTTTCTAGTTTCTCTCGTTTTAGTTATGATGCAATTAACGTTAAATTCATTCAATATTTTGTACTTTATAAAATCAAATTCTCATTTTTTTCATTCCACGCTTGTCTAATTTTTTAAACATTGATGCTCATTATATATATATATATATATATAAGGCCTTTTATTAAGGCTTTGCTTTAGACCTCGGATGGTATTGAGACGCCCCTAGCCGTATGTGAAATTGGAATGGCCAAGGTAGGAAGGATAGTCAGATCTTGATACGCAAAATACTTTTTTTTGTCAACTGGTACATAAAATAATCAAATTATAATAGTTTATTGTTCTCTAGACGTACACTAGCTAACTCACACCAAGGTGAAGGTGATTATCAAATATTAAAATTAGTGTAATAAGAAATTCCGGATCTTACATCAATAAAGTCAATGATCCACGTGCATTTGTGCAACTTATTACTAGCCAACTTCATGTACAATAAGAAATTGCAAAAATAATTATATATAAATCAAAGAAGTTAAAAGATGGGTAAGAAAAAATTAGAAAGAATCTAAAGAATTTTTTTTAATTATAATAAAAAGAATTTGACTTCTATATACTAAGAGCCATTTTTAGATGTTGGGAGTGTTTGGCAAAAAAGAAAACAGCTTAAAAAAAAAGTTAAAAGTGGCTTAAAAAAGCCAAAAGCCACAAGTTAGTTGATCCCAACTTTTTTTTCCCAGCTTAAAAGCCAACTATCTTTGACCAAGTATTTTACCCTCTTGTCCCTAATAATATTTATTATTCCAAAAATGTCCTTCACAAACTTTTGAAATAATTATAATATCCAACTCAAACTTTTAAAATTTGTCAGAACGTGAACTTACTTTGAAGTTTAGCTTTGCTTTGAAAGGTGAATACGACATTTACCTAATGAAGTTTTCTTACTAAATAATTAAAACATGAGATAGGAAATAGGACTCCTAAACCTAAAAGGAAGGAAAAATAGTCCTAAATATTAGTATAAAAATGATTAAACATTTATTTATATAATAATCATCTGTAAATCTTTATAAAAAAATGTATAAATTAATAAAACTGATATACATGCGAAGTCATAACAGACGAAGCTGGCTAAACATACTTAACTTTAATATCTCTTACATAGATTGTAGTATTGTACTTGTGTTTGATTTTTTTTTCTAAGACTTTAAACTCGTGTGCGACCAACAATTCTAGTTGCATTGTAATTTCTAATTAACTATACGTACAATTTTCAAATAATTTTAAAAAGTACAAGTTTATTTTATTTTGATTTCCTAAATATTAGGAATTTTTACATAGTTCAAATAAGGAATAGAATAATAAAATGTGATAGTCATTTCATATGTTTT